GTTTGACGAAGCTAAAAATCTGAACTGGAATCAGTAGTCTAGTACCATTCTTCACATTTTGCTGTTGTTTGATTTCTCATTGAGTTATTGAGTTTGCACAATGGGCTTGTGCGAGGAGTATAATAGAGCTACAGAATCAGACCCTTAGTTCAGACAGGTGATTTTAATATCCACGTCCGCTTCAACATTCTGCTCGTGAATTAGCAATTATTTTGGTGGAAAAAAATACTGTGCTATCAGTGGCGAACATGACCACTGACTGCCTTCATCTCGCATATATAGGTTATGATATTTGTTAACATTTGCTATCAATTAACTATTGGATATATAATTTGTGAAGGTGGTGTCATTTCTTTTCCATGTTTATGTAAGATGGCATGTCAAGTTTGATGCCTGCTCATATTTTGATTTTACTGCGCATTTATCCAGCCTTTGTTCTTATACGGGATACACACACACAAGCAGAATCACAATCACAATTACGCAGATGCAAAATTTTATAGAAATTTGTACACGGATGGAAGAATGGAATACAATACTTTCCAATTCTGCATGAAGTTAAGGATTGAACAACATAGTGCTTTTTCATTATTTTTAGCATCACCAGACGTTTTCATGCCATATCACTCTGTTATACAATTATATGGTAAGGTGATGATTGTCAATGTAGTGGATATCAGAAACAGAGAACTAAACTAGCCAATGAGAGAGCTGAAAAAAGTGAAAAGACGCATCAGTTATGTAAAACATAAGGATGTGAAAATCTATGTGTGGAATATGAGATTATGGAGTGCTGCAGTCCCATAAAAAAACTATCTGATACTCTATTGATAACCATTGTTTAAAAAAGCTTTTTTGAGCCTTGCGCTTTGAAACCCATCTCACTTGAGGCTATTGTGAAACACCTCAAAACCCGCCCTTTGAGTGCCATTAGCGAGGCTTACGCTTCAGGGTCGTTGTGTCATCTTTTTTTTGGCATTATGTCACTGCCCTCAAGTCTTTGAGCTATTTCTTTACAGCCTACAACATTTTATGGGTGCTTCCATTGTTTCTTAATGCCTTGGAAGGGGAAGCAGAAGGAGAATGCAACAAGTGGAGGATGGTACAAAAGAATGAGTAAAAATAGAGAGTGATGGAGGATGACGAGGGAACCAAATAAATGATTCTCATAAGGATTGTATTGATTCTGTGGTGGTACAATTTTGTTGTGTTATCATGGGGCGGGCAGCTTATTAAATTGGTATTCTTTTTAAACCTGGTCATAGAAATTTACTAAAAATCCTCGTTTGTCACGAGGACCTTCTACTTTCATATTTTTATCATTAATTCCTTTATTTTTGGCCAGGGAGGAGTGCCCATATTATTTTTTGTGCTGTTTGACTAGCGATCCTGGGCATCTGATTTTGATTTTATTTTGTAATTCGAGTTTTCTGCAGAACTTTACACAAAAAAGATGTTTGAGCTGCTGGTTTCTGCTTATTCTACAATAAGCACACAAGATACAGCTCTTTTCCTCGGACTGAATGCTGATGATGCTGCAAACTGTAACCTCTCATCCTTTTTCACATGGCTTATAACATTTGTGCAAATTTAAAGGTTAATGCTTGTTTAGGGGTTGTTTGAGCCCCATTTTTCTCAAACAAATGCATTTTGAAATAGTGTTATGATGAAGAATGTGTATTTAAAAAATAAAATTTTTTTTTGACATTACGTGTAACATTATTTTATTAAAAATGTGTGGTCAAAATGAAATCAAATCATTGTTGAAAAATGTATTTTGATGAAAAAATGAGGCTCAAACAATGGCTTAATCTGCAAGTGGAATGTCTTTGTATTGAGGTTGAAATAATTTGAAAATCAGTGACCGTGCAGGTAGAATTTTGGGTGGATAAATTATGTAAAGCCTACCTCTTAATCTAGTTTTGGGATTGGTGGGGTGGTTAAGATGAAGAAATAGATTAAGTAATTTTTATGACACTGACCGATGACGAGAGAATTTTAATGTCATTGTTGACACTCCTCACCATGTATATAATTATCATTTCCCTATCTTTAAAGTAATTTTAATGTTTCTATAGGATCTTTCATTGTCCTTAACTCTTACCAAACTTGGAACTGTTGAAAAATGGCACTTTAATCAGCTTGAATGCAACTCGTCCCTTGTACGGTAAATTGGTGGAATGGAAATGAATGCTACTACTAACTTGTGCTAACACTTCTCGGTTACTTGCAGATACGCTACAACGTGGTTGGACCTTGGATCCCTCCTCTCAAATGCTAACCGTGAAGAAGCAGGCTGTTGCAACAGAGCAGAAACTGGATTCCAGTAAATTACAGCGCTTGACGGAATACGTTTTCAATCTTGAGCATTAATCCTTTACACTCAGTTATATATATCAGTTCCGATCAGCTCTGGACGATGTAAAATGATATCTAGTTTTTGTTCCAAAACCTTGAGTTGTTTCATCAGTCTTCACTGTTATCGTTAATCAAGCCAATGAGCACCTGCTCGAATACGTTATAAATGTAAAATGATATCTAGTTTTTGTTCCAAAACCTTGAGTTGTTTCATCAGTCTTCACTGTTATCGTTAATCAAGCCAATGAGCACCTGCTCGAATACGTTATAAATGTAAAATGATATCTAGTTTTTGTTCCAAAACCTTGAGTTGTTTCATCAGCGTTCACTGTTATAGTTAATCAAGCCAATGTGCACTTGCTCGGATACGCCGGCAAGGCATTCAATTGCTGGAAGTGTAGACTCAAATGTGATTAGTTCATTTCGCTTTTGCTTCAAATGTATTTTCATTGAGTTAATCAGATGGCTGAATGTGTTGGAATGACCAGTTTCGCAGTGACGACGATAACCATATTGTCAATAACAGAAGCTGCGTTCTAATTTTATACCTGCAGGATTGCTAATGTGAAGATGTGACCCTTCTTTCTAGGGACTCGGAAAGAATATGATGCAATTGTGACCCAACAGACGAACAAAAGTGGAATGGTCCAAATAAATAGAAAACGACTGGACTGGTTGTTACAAACACATTATTACCAAGAACTGTAACTGTACATAAAATTGAATAGTTGTTAAGGACATTACGAAGAAATATCCCAGTAAATATTTTTTTTATTAGAGTAGCCTTTAAGGAAGAAAGTGAAATTAGAATCGTTAAAAGTGTTGTCCAACAGCATACGTGACATGAATCCCACTAGTCGAAGTAAAGGAAAATAATATTTTGTTAGAAAACAGATGTCCAAATTTGTGACAAGCCCAAAATTTGCAAGATGGGATGTAATAATATAAAAATGACAAAAAGAGTTTCAAGAAACTCTCTGAACTATACCTATGCATGCAGGGATATTTATTCTCAAACCTTTATGAAAAATAAAAGGGTTATACAGATTCTGCAAATGGATAAGAAATGAACACGTTTCTTCGGTAATAGATTCTTCTAGTAAATTAACTGAAAATGAATTTTGAGAATTTTCCTGTAGACGAGTTACACGAGTACACAATATTGCGTGTTACTATGTGTGTTGATTCCTCCAGCACCCAAAAATATTGATTATTTGAATGCCAAAAAACCAACTTTGCGACGTGCCGATTATGATAATTTAGAAAAAAAACTCTTAAATGTTTCCCGGCAGAAAGGAAAAAAAGAAATAGCACAAACAATTAGAGCTTGTTGGCTAACTTTATAGTTTATTTTTCCAGTTTGTTCATCTTCTGTACATTTATTTACAGCACATATCTAATAGGGGAAGCACCCAAAAATATTGATTATTTGAATGCCAAAAAACCAACTTTGCGACGTGCCGATTATGATAATTTAGAAAAAAAACTCTTCAATGTTTCCCGGCAGAAAGGAAAAAAAGAAATAGCACAAACAATTAGAGCTTGTTGGCTAACTTTATAGTTTATTTTTCCAGTTTGTTCATCTTCTGTACATTTATTTACAGCACATATCTAATAGGGGAAAAAAAGGAGGAAATTATCTCTTGGTCTTCAAAAGATGAAAGGGGCATATTTCAATTCCTGATTTTCTTACCACGCTTCTTGATGATCACGGGCTTCGTAACGCTGTATAGATCATCAATTGATCTATATCTCCTTTTTCTTTTGGGACAAGTCTTCAGTTCTCTGATAAAGGTGGAGGAAATTTCATTAGAATCACCCACGCTTTCCTCTCGGTTTTGCTCCACCGATTTGGTGGCGTGACCGCCGTGGTTTTCTTTGCTGTAATCGGAATCGCCGCTGAGTTGAATCAGCTGCAAGGCCGCGTCCATTTCCGGGTTAGAGACCATCTGGGGTTTCCTTGCTGACCGCGATTTCATCTTCATTAATTCATATATAGAAAGAGAGAGTTTTAGATGAAGAGGACTTACTTTTATAGGTTTCACAATATTCTAACTGGTACGACAAAAAAATATCTGAATGAATTTCTGAGGGGCAAAAGTAATATTTTAATTGGTATTGTAGAGCATAATGTTGATAAAAAACTTGGTCAGCATGATTTGATAAAAAACTTAACATAATACTGAATATTTGTTCAAAATCAATGGAATGATAATGAATTAATTGTTGGACTCAATTATGGAATTGATAAAATCAAAAGAAATTGAAAAATGAAAATTTTGATTTTTGCCTATGCGAATTCATATATAGAAAGAGAGAGTTTTAGATGAAGAGGACTTACTTTTATAGGTTTCACAATATTCTAACTGGTACGACAAAAATATCTGAATGAATTTCTGAGGGGCAAAAGTAATATTTTAATTGGTATTGTAGAGCATAATGTTGATAAAAAACTTTGTCAGCATGATTTGATAAAAAACTTAACATAATACTGAATATTTGTTCAAAATTAATGGAATGATGATGAATTAATTGTTGGACTCAATTATGGAATTGATAAAATCAAAAGAAATTGAAAAATGAAAATTTTAATTTTTGCCTATGCATACGCACAGGCTTATTTTTGTGCGTACGCGAGATTTGCTTTTTCAAAATCAGAATTGATTTTGCTTCTACTATACGTACGCAA